TAAAATAAAGAAATTATGTAATAAATTTAAAAAAAAAATCTGAAAAGTAGAAAAATAATTATAACATAATATTGAAATTAATAATAATTTGATATATTTACATAATATTGTAAATAACTAATTTCACTTATATCAAGTAATAATTCGAGAAAATAACTTTCAAAAAAATTAATATTTATTAATAAAAAATTTAAACTCTTAACCTGTATTTATTATGTAATTATACATACTAAATTAATACTTATTGTATTTCAGTAATTATTTATTGTTTTTTGTGATAAATGTTTTCAATGATTATGTATAAATTTATTTTGTTTTGTTATTGAACTGAAAACTTTCAATAATTATTGGTGATTAAACTACTATTATTGAACTTTTTAAATTTAATTTATTGTACTTATTGTATTTTTGTTATAACTTATTGATTCATATTTATTAGAGATTAAACTATTATTTGAGATTATACTATTTATTAACTAAGCTCATATATTTTTAGTACTTATTTAATTATTGTAATTATTTTATTACTTTCATTATTAATATAGTTTCAATAATTATGTATTTTTGCTATAAATTTTCAATAATTATTAGAGATTAAACTATTGTTATTTATTAGAAATGAGACTATTAATTTAGCTGAAATTATGAGTGTTCATAAGTTGGTTTGGTTCAGTCGTGGGCTATTTGGCCAACCAAATTGACCTAGTTAGGTTGGGGAGTTGGTCAACTGAAACCGACTGACCTTTTGTGAAAACCAACCCACTCAAGTTGTATCAATTTGGGTCGATTTGTTGGTTTGGTCAGACGGTTCAAAAGATTTAAACTTTAAAATTAAATTTAATTTTAAAAATTACTGTGCAATTGTTAAAAATGAATTTACAAATTAGATTTATGATATAAAACATCTTAGACTAAGAAATATGAGAAATTTCTCACTTTTTCACATTAAAAATTATATTTAAAATATAAAATATTAATATATATCCATGGTTAGGTTGTTCGATTTTGGTCGATTTACAAATGACTAAAGTGAAGCTGATCTAACTTGGTCGAATTGGGAATTATTTGAACCAAATCCGACCTAAAATGCTAGAAAACCGACCAACTTGGTCGAGTTGATCGGGTTGGCGGTTTCAACAATTTGATCAATAAAACTAATTGAAATTAATTATTGTTATTTTTGTATTATAAAAAATTATTAAAAGTAGTATATAAAATATGAATAATTATTAATTATTTAAAAGTTGAAAATATAAAATAATTGTATACTCTTATGTGTTTCTATTAGGGTCATTTACTAGAACACGCCTTATAGCTTTACATATTTACTTAAACCTACCTTATAGTTTTCATTTTACTAAATCATCCCATATATTTCACAACTTATTTACTTAATCAACCTTTCATTAAGAAGTTTTTGTTTTGCCTTTAGGCCCATTATTTTTTATTCCAAAAATACCCTTAACACTTTTTTTATAGAAAACAAAATTAACCAAAAATTAGCCAATAGAGTGGTTGCCCATGTCTTAGTATGGGCAAAAATGGTATTTTTATTTTCTTTTGATTAAATTTATTCAAATGAATATTAGGGTCAACAATGTCATTTTCCACTGCCATCTAATGGAAGATTGATTAAATCCATTGCAAATAAGTGGTGTTTTAGTAAAATGCTAACTATAGGGTAGATTTTAGTAAATCCATGAAACTATAAGGGGTATTTTAGTAAATAACAATTTCTATTATTTAGCTTTCACTTAATAAATTCCGTGCATCGCATGCATGGGTCCCCGCTAGTGGTTATTAAAATATTAGCAAGAGACCTCAATGTCAATTCCTTCTAACCCATGGCTAATCTTATCTGAACAAAACCTCTATAAGAATTATGGGTTCAGATCTGCTGCCAACATGTCCCAACTGGCAATTACAACCGTGTATTGGGAACATCTCCTCATGAATGACAATAGAGATTTTCCCAATGTATAGGTAAAGTGGCATGTTGGAATACCGTTGGTAGTGTTGTGTTGGTAGCAGTCCCTGCCCAAGAATTACTTGAATCAATAAATTTTCAATTTCCATTATTTGTTTGAATTTGAATTCAAATTCAATCCTTTTAAGGGTGATACAAATTTGAACCATTTATAATTGGATCAACCATGGATTCACCCTATCCAATCCAATATGTGTGTTCGCACACATATATACAGAAGGTGTTCAACAACCTGCATGGTTGGTTTTGTTTTTGAAAACAAAAACAACTTCTACATCAGCAAAATTGTATTGATTTTTTATGTGAAAATTGTTATTGTTTTCAAAAACAAAACCAACCGTGTTGTTGAACACCCCCATACTTAAAAATTATATTAGAACTATTAGTAAAGTTGCTTTGGATGTTGTATTTTCACTAGATAGGGGTGCTCACAGATCAGTTAACTGAACCATGGGGTATTTTTTCAAATTGAATCAATCTGATTGGTTTTTTAAATATTTAAACCGAAACCGAACTGATGCAATTAGTTAACTGATTAACCGTGGTTTGTTTTTTTTATTTTTCTTATGCACTTAAAATAAAAAAAAATAACTAAAACTGTCGATGGTTGCTGGTGTTGGACTGCTAGTGCCGTTGGTTGCTGTCAATGCCAAATTGGTTGGTGCCGATGGTTGCCATCGAGTGTCGCCTGAATAAGAGCCTGAGAGGTGGCGCGGCTAGCGCTTGACGGAGACGCAAAGAGGAGAAGTGAGAGAGAGAAGAGAGAACTGAGAGAGTGAGAGAGAGCGACATTGGTGCTTGCTTGTCGGACTGGTTAGACCTTTGGTGCTTGCTTGCCAACGAGGCGGCGACCAGCGTTGCCGCTTGGTGCTGCCATGCTGGTGGTTGGCAGGGGCTGTGCAGCCGCCTGGACTCTAGAGTGAGGAATACGAAGAGAACTGATGGAGTGAGAGAAGAAAACTGAGAGAACTGAGTCAAAGAAGAAGACAAGAGAGAAAATGAAGAGAAGAGAAAACTGAGAGAACTGAGAGAGTAAGAGAAAAAAGACAAAAGACAAAGGAGAAAACTGGCACTTTGGGAGTCTGGGGAAAAGACAAAAGAGAACTGGCGCTCTAGCAGAGGCAGACGACTTAACTTTCAATTGAAAGGTTCAAATTTCAAAAAAAATATTGAAATTTGAACTGCTAAAAGTCTCTCATGATGCCGCTTTTCAAAAAAACAAATTGATAGGCGACTAGGCGCCGAATAAACCGAAATCTTTTATTCGATTTTCAACAAAACTAAAAAATATAATATATAATATATATAATATTATATTATTTATATAAAATATATATTATTGTATATATCGATCGGTTCGGTTAGCTGCCGGATTTTTAAAATGGTTAACCAAAACCAAACCAAAACTATCGATTTTTTAAGAACATCGAACCGAAACCAAACCATTTAACTGAACCAGTCGGTTTGGTTTTGGTTGGTTCGGTTTTTTTGGTTTTTTCTACTCACCCCTATCACTAGATATTCATAGGTCCAAGTTTCATAAAAGATTTTTTAATTCATTTTGTTCATAAAATATAATATTAATGTCATTTTTAGTTCAGTTTGTACATAGAAATTTTTGGTAAATATAAATAGATTATGGTCATTTACTAGAACACCCCCTATAGTTTCACAAATTTTCTTAAACCTACCCTATAGTTTGCATTTTACTAAAACACACCTTATAATTTGCAACCTATTTATGTAATCGACCTTTCATTAAGAACTCTTTGGTTTGCCATCTGAAATAGTAACATGATCACTTAAATTAAGTGGAAAATGTTTAAGGGCATGGACCCATGGTTGTTTATTCCAAAAATACCCCTAAACTAAGTGGATCTATGGTTGTTTATTCCAAAAGTACCCCTAACACTTTTTTGTATATAAAACAAAATTGACCAAATAGAAAAAAATAGTGGTTGTCCGTGTTTTATTAGGGGCAAAAATGGAATTTTTGTTTTTAGTTTACTTTGATTAAATTTATTTGAATGGATGTTAGGGTTCAAACTTTTATTTTCCACTTTCATCTAATAGAAGGCCGATTAAGTAAATAAATTGCAAACTAAAGGGGATGTTTTAGTAAAATACAAACTATATGATAGGTTTTAGTAAATTCATGAAACTATAGGGGTGTTTTAATAAATGACCCATTAAATTATTATATTTTTATAAATAAAATGTAAGATTTTGATTATTTTAGTCTAATTCATTTACAATTTAACATCCAATTGTAATTCAAGTTCAATTTGAATCCATTAGACATCCAATAGATATGATTCCATTCAAATTCAAATATAAATAAATCAAATTTAGACCTACCTATATTCAATTCAAATTCAATTCGATCTATTTGCACCCTAAAAAAGCACAACTTGTCTTATAACCCAAATGGCAATTCTAAGCACCATATCTAATCCTGGTGGAGAATTTGTCTTACAACCCATATGTCCCTAGTCTTATTTGTCTTGTCCATTGAATTAACTAATATTTAAAAGTCTGTTTGGCTTGTAGTTGGAATTGGAATCGAAATGATTTATTTACATAGTCTATTTGATAGATAGGAAGAGGAATGAAAATTGGAATCAATAGAAATGAGATTTCATTCTCAAGGGAGAGGGTAACGAATGGCCATTCCCTCAAATGAGAGAGTGTTATTCTAGCAACCAAATACATTGAATTTGATTCCACCCAACCAAATTCCGGACCCCTGTTCCTGCGAACCAAACGGGGCGTAAGTTCTTTAGGTTCATTCGATTAATAACTGGATATAACATTTTGGTTCTACCAAAAAAAAAAGATATAACATTTTGTGGTTGATTTGATTCAGTTCGATTATGATTACATACTTGAATGGATATCTGACTATCCGAGTCGGTCTTAAATCAATAGGATCCGAATTCTGACGGGATTAAACCCGATCCATCTTCAGCCCTATGTTATTGCTAGCACTTCTCAGGCTATAAATTGACCAAGTATCGGCGATGTACCGAGAAGAGAAAGGAAGAAATTCTCTTGTTTTTCCCTGTTTTCTTTTGATACTCGGTTGTGTTCGGCCACGATGATCTGGTTGGAAGCTGTTCTTCCTTTGGGAATCATTGCTGGAATGCTCTGTGTGATGGGAAATGCTCAATATTACATCCACAAAGCTGCTCATGGCAGGGTAAGTAAAAAAATTGTCAATTGAAACTAAAAATTCTCTCTGAGTTGATTTTTTATTAGAAAAGTAAACACTTGAGAGAAAAATTTTGTTGAAATCTTCAGCCGAAGCACATTGGAAACGATGTATGGGATGTGGCCATGGAGAGACGAGACAAGAAGTTGGTGGAGAAATTCGCTGCTTCTCGCGATTAGGTCAGATTTTGATTCTAGATTCTATTAACCTTGCAACCTATTGATTTGTCTCTTTTCAATTTGGGATCATTTTAGGGTTATTTTCTGTGAATGCAATTCATTTGAAATAACTTATTGGCACGTTTGATTAGGTTTGTAACTTGTTTTGCTCTGATTTGATGTTGGAGTTTGATTAATCTTGTTTTTATGGGTGCTTGTTTCTCTAGTCAGGGTTTCAATTTGATGCGTCCTACTCCTTTTGCCATCTTGAAGTTGGATTTAAGGAGTCTGTTTTTATTGGACGGGTAGATGGTTCATTTATCATCTATTTCCTGTTTCTGAGTTGCTGCAGTTTTATTGAATTGGTGCTTGGTTTTGGTTGATATTGAATCAATTTCTTCAGTCGTACCTGCTGCTTTTGGTTTTAAACCACTTGGGGTTTCTGAAATTTGGGGCGTCCTATGTTCTTTTAAGCGTTTATTTTGAAGACTGCCCTTTTATATGATTGCAAAAGTAAAACCTTTTGTTATTGGAAAGCTTAGATCCAGCACCCAGAATGCACCTTAGCTGGACTGTTCAGATTTTTGGTAACGGGTTCTTGCATAACATATGGGACTCCTACTACTGAACAAAATAAGAATGTTTGAGGAATTGCACATGAACAAAATCGAGCTCCTGATTGTCACTCTATCGAGTATTGACTGGAAAACATTGTCCACTTTTAGATGTGGATTAATGAAATGTTGATAATTGCCATTCTGTCAGGCCCAAAAACTGGTGAGTCCACCAATGAAGTTGAAGTGGGTCATCAGTGGTGATGATAGGAATTACTGATGAAATGGTGAGTGGTCCTTGAAAGAATGAATAGTTGGTTATCCTTTGCAAATGCATTAGTTGAATTTTTCTGTTCCAAAAGAGCAAATATAACCCTTGCAAGCTCAAAGAAAGTCATTGACCCACTTGGCCCACTGCAAATGATGGGGGGAAACACGAAATTGTGGTTGGGGCCAACCTCTTTGAGGTGACTTATTGAGTTAAGAATTCTTGGGATGGAGGCAAAGTGGTGAGTCCTTAAATTGCCAATGAAGTTGAAGTGGGTCATCGATGGTGATAATAGGAGTTACTGCTTAAATGGTGAATGGTCCTTGAAAGAATCAATTGTTGGTTATCCTTTGCAAATGCAATAGGTTGAATTTGTTTGTTCCAAAAGAGCAAATATAACCCTTGTGAGCCCAAGGAAAGTCATTCATTCACTTGGTTCACTGCAAATGATGGGGGAAAACACGATTCTGGTAGTGACCATGACGAGGCCAGTTGTTAGGAGTCCAACTTGGGCCAGATTAGTCTGAGTCCAACCCAAAGAAATTGGATTGGGTTGGATCAGGTTGAAGTTCAGGTTAAAAATTGTGAACCTGGATTAACTTTGAGTTAGGTTAGGGTTGAGGCATTGGGCAACCCAATCCAACCCAAACCCAGCATGTTTTTGTATTTGTAAACATAAATATTATATGAGTATGTAGTTATAAGCAAAGATCATTTTAGCAAAAAGAAATCAAGAAATCAAGTCAAACCCTGAACCCAACCCAATTTGAGTTGGGTTAGGATAGGGATTCAATAACTCGGGGTGAGTTAGGGTTAACCTCAACCTGACCTAACCCAACCCAACTTGCTCCTGTACTAGTAGAAAGTAACCCAATATTTGACTCAGGGGAAAGGGTGGTGGTTTTGCTCTCAAGACATTATTAAAGGTGGGATGAGGTGTTTTTCTTTGTGAAGAATCATCTGAGTGGTTATGCATTGCAAACCATTAGACCATTTAAAACTAGTGGTGCAATTATCTTCCTGCCATTTGAGTTACCACCATGATAACATTGCTCTCTATCACTGGTCACCAAGAGTAATATTCAGACTTGATAGAGATTAAATTACAAAACTTGGATGGTCTAAGTGGTGGGTACTTAGGTATTTCTGAGGAAACAAAAAACCTTATAAATCTTTTCATGGCTAAGATTAAAATTGCTCAAAATAAAGTTGGCCTCCATCCCTAGATCTATCAAAGTGAGAATATTTGCAATGAACACTGTGGTATGGGTGGTTTCCTCCTAGGAATGCAAATTGCACGATACCATTTGGCTATGCATCAGTCAATAAACCAAAAAGATGGGAGATTCTTCTCAATACTTGACCTATGAAAAGAAGCTCCTTTTGTGCAGATGTATTGTTGAAAATCACATGGAATCATAAAAACCAGAAAGTAGAGAAGAAGCTAACATCTACATAGGGAAATATACCAAGGGGGTGATCAATCAAACTTTGATTGAAGGGTGCAGATTCAGAAGTCATTTTGCTGATTGATTGAAAAAGTCCTATATACCTACTAATAATAATCCAGGCACGTCACCTATGAGAAAAGTGATTTCAAGTGTATCACATTTTTTTATCAATAACAATAAGCTTTATTTTAAGATAGGAAGAATTAATACAAGAGATAGGGTAGGTAAAATGGCTTAACTCCCCACCAACAAATTACAAAGAAAGATGAATTAAAAATTAGCTCAAAACAAAGACACCCTATTCGCCCCTTGCTTGGCTAACCCATCAGCAAATGAGTTGGCATTTCTTTTCACCCAGCTGTACTTCACCTCATTGTCCCTAGCAAGCCATTTGAATTTATTCCTTTCATTTCTATAGCTCCGCATGCTATTGTTGTCTTCCTTAAGACGTCTAATCACCTTCAAGGACCAATCTTCTGATGTTCAACTCTCTTGCTTTTTGGATTCCTTCTAGAGCTGCAAAGATCTCAGCCCTGAGAGAGTCACCTTCTCCAATTAGGCCTGAAAACAAAGCTAGAATAATCCCTTCCTCATTCCTGAACACACCCCCAATCTCAGAAGGCCCTGGATTTCTAAAATTACTCCCATCAAAGTTCAGTTTTATGAATCCAGAGGATGGGGAAGTTCAAAGGGGGCTAGAAATCTTCTTAACTTAGCATAGTTAACTCTCTTTTCAATTTCTCAGCAAGTCAGTCATGGAAAAATCTGTAAAAAGGTCCAATGATTTCAGCCAGTGAACCAGCCTTACGTGTGGCATATCTATTAATCTCTCAGCTGTTCTTTCCTTGTCTAAAAAAATACGTGAGTTTCTTTCTTCCCATAAGGACCAACAAACTTCTGCCCTAATGCATCTCCACATAATCCTCCCTCTTTTCTTAGGCCTGCTGAAATAGGAAGGAGAGAACAAACTTTGCACATTCAAAGGGGGATTCCAATTACACCCAAAAAGGGAGAAAGCCCACTTCCAAATAGCTTTAGCATATAGGCAAGTAACCATAAGGTGGTAGCCAATTTCCTCATCAACCTTGCAGAGAGAACACTTATGCAGGGATAAACAAGAATTGGGTCTCTTTCTTTGAAGCAGGTCACTTGTGTTAATTCTTTCCAAGAAAGTTTCCCAGCAAAAACTACTAACTCAAGGAGGAATGGGCTTACTCCATACCTCTTTAACAAGGAAGGGCAACCCAAGAGGTTCAAGGGGTTGAGTTAAGGTTTCAAAGGAGGCACAAGGGAAGGTACCCGAGGAGGAGGGGGTCCAAATTCTGGTATCTTTCTTAGTGGGGTCCAGGAAAACATTTTCAAGAATATTTAACAAAGTCAAAATGTAGCCCATATTTGTATCCCTAATGGCCCTTCCTAGTCCCAGGTTCCACCCAAAGCTAGAAGTTGAGTCTGAAGGAACTAAGAAAGAAGAGATAGGTTCTTTTTGAGGTTTGACAAAGCATACAAAGAGGGAAACTGTTCCATCAAAGGGGAACCCCCAACCTAAGTTTGTTCCCAAAACTTTATTAGGTTACCTGAGTTCATGCCATACCTGATCCAAGGGGAGAAAGTTGGAAAAATATCATGGATGGCTCTCCCCAGAGAGCCATGAATGCTAGCCACTATCTTCGTCCACAATTTGTCCCTTTCCAAAGGAAACCTCCACAACCACTTCCCCAACAAAGCCATGTTTCTTTTCCTAATATTCTCCATCCCAAGACCTCCCAGTTTTTTACTTCTAGTTACCACCTCCCAACCCTCCCTATGATCCCTCTTCTCCTCTCCTGGCTTCCACAAAAAGTCCCTCATTAACTTTTCCAACATGTTGGAGACCTTGGTGGGAATCTTAAACACCGACAAGAAGTAAACATGTAAGTTAGCTAGGGTAGACCTAATCAAAGTTATCCTCTGATAGATAATTTTTCCTTCAGGAAGCAAGTTTTTTCTTGGATCTTTCCACCACCGGGTTCCAAAAGCTTTCTTTTTTGGGATTATCTCCTAAGGGGAGGCCCAAGTAATTCAAAGGCCAATCCGAAATTGCACAACCTAACACACTTGCATAATTTCTTATTTCCCTCTCCTCCATGTTCACCCCCGCTATACAACTCTTATCAAAGTTCACCTTGAGATTAGACATTTGCTTGAAGAGTTGTATTGCCAGTTTTAAGTTCCTAATCCAATTTAAGTCCCCACCTTCACGGAAAAGAATTTTATCATTTGCAAATTGCAAGTGTGTAAGTGGAATTTCCTCCCTTCTACTCTCCATCCTCTTAGTAAATTCCTTGAATCAACTATATGAATCAATCTCCCAAGAACATCCGCAATCAATGTGAATAAAAAGGGAGAAAGTAGGTCACCTTGCCTTGTTCCTCTTAAGGCAGGGAAAAATCCACCACAGTTTCATTCACCAAAATAGAATGGTGGCAACTCCACCCAAATCCATTTGCACCATCTATCCCCAAACCCAAAGCATCTCAACACCTGCAACAAAAATGTCAACCAAGTCATAAGCCTTTTCTAGGTTTAGCTTGCAAACCACTCCCTTCTTTGTTTTGCTAAAACTCTCCAGACTCTCATTTGCAATCAGGATTTTATTAGTGATCTGTCTTTCCTTCACAAATCCTCCTTGGTTGGGTACAATAATAGTAGGGAGAACTTTCTTCATACTAAGATATGGCACTTTTCCAATAAATCCTTCGGTTGTGATGCCTCTCTCTTGTTTGGGACTAGGGCAATAAATGTAGAGTTCAACCCTAGATAGTTGTCTGATAGGAGTGTTCAGATTTGCTGGCCACAAGATGCTAGCAACAACACTAGCAATATTTAATGTGGCACTACCTGTCCTAGACATGCTAAAATGTCTATTTGTGCGGATACTAAAATTTTCACATTTTCACTTTCAACCTAAACCCTAACAAGAGCTTCTCTTCTCCCTAACATGCTCCTCTTTCACCATTTCTCCGCTCTTCCCTTTACCTCACTCATGCTCTCACTGGCATGCAAACCTGCCACACTAAGTCTATAAACCAAAATGTCAGTTCTTTGGCAACAATGAACCTAAAGAACACTAAGGTGGGAAAGGAAATGAAACCCAAGGGCAAAAATGAGAATGGAAGATTGAAGTATCCTTTAAATGTCATTTTGTATGACTAATCCAGGAGAAACATGAATAAAGATATGAAAATTTGAAATAGGCATTAGAAAACCAGTAAAACTTTACATACTGACAAAATTAAGTTCCATTTTAACTGGAAAAATCAGACCCAGTGAAGGGAGTACCAGAAGAAAAACAAAAACCATTGATCACATGTAAAATCTCAGATGAAGGGAGAAAATAAACATGAGGGGGTAGCTAATAGCATAAAGAAAGGAGGTTCTAAGAACCCATCAAACCCAAAATTCAAAACTGAGGAGCAAATTCGTAGAAAATATGGAATACGAACTCATGAAACAAGGCAATAGAACCCAGAAGCTCACAAGGTAAGGAGAGTGTGAAATAATACAGTCTCCATTTTTAAACTCAATCCCATTCTAAAACTAAAACCATAAGAAGGCAGGTCAAGCTGTTACTCTTCAAGTGAAAGGTGGGCACTTGAGATTTGACATTTACTATTATTATCTACTATGTGCAGGCCTGTGGATGAAGAGAGGGATCAATCTTCTTGTGGGGTATTAGGAAACCTGTGTCAAAGGAAGTATGTTCTTGATCTAATTGAAGGAACAAGGTTGTTGGGTGCTAAACTAGTTGAATCACCTATAGAGCCAAATGTTAGACTCAATGCAGATACAAATCAATTGTTTGATGATTTTTTTTATAATTATACATAATTTTGCGAGTTTCATTTCTGAAGAAGTTTTAGGAGGGTTGAAAATTAATATGTGTACACATCTGCAGAATCTAGGGCACATCTTTGTTTGATATTCTTTTTAAGCTTGTTCCATAATGAGTCTAGCATTTATTCTATGGTTGGGGCAGTTTTCCTTTACCCTCTTTTTATTTGCTAATACATTCATGTCCCCCCCCCCCCATGCATACAAAAATAAAGGCAACATTGCACCCCACCTTCATTATATGAATGTATAACTGGCTTTGCTGGTAAAGACCTGAAGTCATTAGATGTATTCCCAATGTTCATTGCTTGAGGTTTTTAGATATTTCCTTTTTTTGCACTAGACTTGCAATTAACACTTTTTTGTTACCAAGAAAAGAAAGTCATATGCATTGTTGCTTGACAATATTGTATGTTTTTCAAAAGAATTTTTAGTATGTTATATTATATAACTAAAATAACTAAATAATTATCAATAGAGTCTTTAAGGTTCATGGTAATTTAGTTCCTCACCCAGATGTGAGGGAGGACAGGCGAGATAAAGATATCAGAATTAGGGATAAAAAAAGAAGTTTTCAGTTTTTGGTTTTAACATTTATATGTGCAATATCTTAGCTCAACGTTTTTGTCTGGCTCAAATAAAAATTGTGATTTATTAATAATATAGAAAAGAGGCCCCCAATACAACCTGGGTTTGATGTTTCCAGCTTAAACATTGTTGATGATTTAAACAAAATGCTGCTAATTAATGGGCCAACAGATTCTGTTCCCTAGGTCTGTGCTGAATGATCACCATCATTATCGAAGTCCCAATTTGCTTTGCTTCTAGAACATTCTATTATCTTTGATACAAGGTCTCCTTTCATGGATCTCACTTCGCAGACCAAAATGCCTTGGGTGTCTCCTACACGCCTTGACTGAGGCAAGGTTGCTCATATTTAAGGCTTCTGGTCTACTTCTAAATAACTAAAGAATTCTTAATCTCTCTTGATTGATATTAGGATGTATTCCAACTAGTAGTAACATGAGCTCCAGGATTATTTGGGATCATTTACTCAATTTGGAATATGCCTTCAGGAGCCCCATTTTTTATGCTATTTTGTTAATTTCTCTCACCGGATCATTCTTTGCTATGTGTGGTGCCAACTTTTCTATGAACTTTCACCTGTCTTATTCAATTATCTAATGTGTATTCTACCTACATTCTTATGGCATCCAGTTCATGTTATGCAGGAAGTGGTTCCAATTGTCTCGTTTAGAAAGGAATAAGGTGCTCCTGCAATCTTTCAGAATTGTTGTAAGAGGTGTTTTAAAGACATTTCATACGATGATTCAGTTCCCTATTGTTTTGGATGGTATGAATCTTTAGATGTTTGTAGACAATTTGAGAACCATGCTGTTTCAGGTCATCCTAAAAGCTGGCTTGTCAAATTTACTAGCTTTTACAGATGCTATTGGACATTCTGCAACTGTCTTTAATTACTGTTACATAACTTGAGTATTAGCTACTCTGTTGGATTTGAGCACATATTCCGCGATTTAAGTGACTGTTGTGTTGACTTATTGTTATCGGAAGGTCCATCTGATTAAGAGTGCCCAAGCCTCATGATTTGTCACAATTTGATGATGCTGTTTTCTGAGCTTCAATAATAGTTTGTCTGGGTGATGCACTCTGATGAGTAAAACCCTGCTAGTCACCACTCTACCTGTTATGTACCATTTACCGGCTTATTTTCAATCTAAATGGAAGATAATGAATGTCGTTTTGATCGTTTCTTCCCGTTTTTTTCACATTGCAACTTTTTCTTTTTCAGACTTGTCTGTTGATAGGCCCTACCAATCTAAAACATCACCATATAATCATACTTATATTCTTTTTGAACATATTTCTGTGTTTTGTTTTTATTCTTTTGAGACGAGGATGTATTTCTCCTACAAGTATGCAAACATGTATACGCAAGGTGGTACCAAAACAACTTATTCAATCATATTTTATGGCAATATCCAATTACCCCGTATATTTGACAAAGGGTCACCATTGGCATTTTATTATTATATACAGAAAGAAACTGATACTAAAACTATTTAGGTTTGACCATTATCCAAGATTATGTGCATTTAGAACTTGCACATGAACAAACCTTTTTGTGGTATGAATCTGGGCCCTATAGACCGGAATCTATTTAAGTAATTTTTCAGTAATGAAAAGCTTTATCAGAGTTCTATTCTCATTTATCTGAATGGAGTGAAATCGGTTTTCTGGTTTCAAGGGAGTTTCCCAATGGGGGGATTATACCCGAGTGAAATCGTGGATTGAAGATTAGGTTTTCGACCCCTCAACGGATCCTTGGAGCTTCGGAAATTAGGAATCCATGACATCAAAACTCATAACCTTTCATGAATTGTTTTGGCCTCACCTTCAATTTGATGAAGTGACGTCTGTGGTGGGGCCACAACAATGCATCAAAGGCTAACATCCGTAGTTTTAAATCTTCGTGTGTCATTGTGGGGAGCGTAATGTGTTCGGGCTTAAAAAAATGTGTACATGCTCATAGGCCTCCTCACTCCAACCACATCCCACTGTGTATTGGGAACATCTTCCAGCTACACATCAGGAGATGTTCCTGATGTGCAGCTGGAATATGCTGTGCGATTGGTTTGAGGATCCAATCTGGACTCATCACAAGTTTAGTTTTGACTTTGTTTAATATAATTTTAACTGCAAAACAGATATAAGTCTTTAAAATAAGGAATGCTAAATGCAGCCTAAGCCATCTCCATTGATATGATAATGGATTTTTAATGATCATTACATTGAACTTCATAAATAAAAATAAAGGGTAAATCTCTTAAACTATCCTAATGTTCACGAAATTGATAAACTATACCCTTATTGTTTATCTATTGTCTTAATCTATTCTTAAGTTTTCTGACAATTGACACGCCGGTAAATACTAACGAAAAAATAAATTATTCATCAAATTTTCAAAATAAAACCCAATTGATGAACAAATAAACCCAAAATCATATCGTGGCGGCGGTGACATTTTCCAGCCAAAAGTGGACTCCCTCCTCATTTTGCTTTAGGAATTCCTTCAACTACTCCATCCCCAACTACCCTGATGAACTCCAGCCGTGATTCTAGGCTTTTCAGGTTTCCAACTTCAATGTCACGGAGGAAAACCTCATCTTGCATCAAGTTTCCAACTTCAATGTCAAGGAGGAGGTCTATGGGCTAGGCCTGTTTGGCATGAACGCAGGTCAAATCCCATTCTAGATTGGCCAAGCCTGTTACTCTTGAATATACGCGGGAGATGACAAAGGTACCTCATCCAACCTGTTTCGATGGTCTTCCTTCAGATCGCCTTCACGTTCCAGTTATACTTCTTGATACAACTCGAAGGGAACCCGCAAGCGGTGCATGTGCTCTTCTGAATGTGAAAGTTGCGGCTCTAGCACCTTACACAGAAGCTTCCTGTACATTTTCCCATTGGCGCGATTGCTCAAAAACCCTAGCTTTCGTCGTACTCATATCTGATATTTGATTGCTCTGTCAAAAAATCTCACGCAAAAATAGTAGTAAAGATACTTAGATATGAACTCATAATTTTGAAGTATAACGAAAACCCAAAGAGAAGAGAAAACCCAGATCAGACAAAAACCTAATCAAACATAGCAACATAAAATACAGAGAAAAGGGGAAAATATAAAAAACAAATAAAACAAAAACAGAACAAAGAGTTGAGTGAAGAAAGGTTTCTCATTAAAAACAGAAGATAAATCTTGTAAAGGCATTCTTGCTCTGTACGACCTTCGTCTTGTAAAGACATTCTTGCTCTGGTTCCTGCCCTCGCTCCTCGCTAGCCATGGCCGACCTTCAAACACAATGGACAAGGGTCCTTGAATCCATCCGTATAAACAAAAATCAAAGGAGAAAAAAAAGATAGGCACAAAAGTCCAAAGATTCCAGTTTTCCTGAGGCGTTGGAAATCCAGATCGGCGTTTAGATCTGATGCAATGAATGGGTGGGTATTGATCAGTGTTGTGTGATCACCAAACTTTTGCCATTCGGAAGTTGTAGTGGCCATCGTTTCTTGCGACAACGATACCAAGATCACCGCTACCGCTACAACTTCCGACAGCGGCGGTGAACAATATGGGTATTTTAGGAATTTTAAAATAATTACCACTCATGTGATTTCACATGTGAACTGAGTGTGACAGAAAATTAACGGCAATGGAGGTTTTAGACAATTAAGGGTACTTTAAGACAATATCTAAATAGTAAGGGTACAGTTTGTCAATTTCGTGAATAGTAGGGGTAGTTTAAGAGCTTACCCAAAAATAAAATAATATAAATGTTTTTTATTTATGTCAAAAATGCTTTCTAATTTTTTAGTAACTTACACATAAAAATAATAAAAACAAAATAATTATTTTAGTGATTAAAATTTATTAATAGCATTTGATATGCATGATGTATCTTTGAAATTATAATGGATTTTATATACTTTTCAATTTCAAATTAACATTATAAATTTCTAGAATTTTTTTAGTAGTGATATAGTTTACAATAAATAATAGCATACTTGGTTTACTTAGCAATTTCTGAAACGCTATATAATATAGCCATTAGCTTACATACTAAGAATTTAACATTATGTTGACTTATTGTTTTGGTAATATAAATACATAAAAACAATAAAATATAGAATAACCTTTTAGTATTTAAAATATAACAATTACTTAGAGTAATGTCTTGATCAACTTTTTTAGATTAATTATATTTTGGTAATTATTAATTAATAATTTAACTTAAATAAATAACAATATATTAATGCATTCTACACTAGTATTTTGGTAATTTTTAATTAATTAAAAAAGGAACATGTTATTTAAAAATAATATTCAACAATAATAATATATAGTTCAAAACTTATATTATTTTTATTGATTTGAGTAATTTAATATGTAGATTTATTATTATAATTTAAATTTTGTAAATATTATCTTTTGCGTTGTTTATTATTCACATGCAAATATTCAAAATGAAAAAAAAAAATCAAATCACCTAAATGACCCAATGGCCTTTTAACCATGAGTGTTTGGGTTCAAAATCTTCACATCCTCAAAATTATTTTAGGATTTATTTCAAGGATATACAAAAATCACAACACTTTTTTTGGAACCTCCAAATAAAACACAGACATGTCAAAAACATCATTTGGAATTGACTTTCTCTTCTTTTAAAAAAAAAGGAAAGAGTGGTCCAGCCATCTCATCCAAAGATACATAAATTTTCAGAAACAAGGAGGCACGGCCTTGCCATAAAATATGAATATGACCATGTTCTCTTCAAAAATGAACAAAAGCTTTTCTCCACCATTCCTAATATAGTGTTGATACTTTGTTTGGATTCACATTTAACTGACCATGTTAAAAATTTAGGGGTGTTCGGCAATGTGTATTATTTTGTTTTTGAAAACAAACACAACTACCATATCAGCATAAATATATATAGTTTTGTTGATGTGGCAGATTTTAGTTTTAAAAACAAAATCATACACAAACAAAAATAACAATTTGAGAAAATCATCTTATACATTGAATAGCTAGATATAACTAACAAATGGTTTGTATGAACAAGTGTTGTAATCATGGATGTAGTCCTTGACAATGAGATTGGCTCAGCCCCATATGAATCTTATATAATTAAAATTTAAACTATAGTATTTTTACAATTTAAATAATAAAATTAAGTGAACAATTTAATATATTACCCGATCAATATGGACCTTTGATGGGATTGAATCAGGAGGATGGGTGGATTGTTGTTAACATTACTAGGGTTTTTGTGCTTGTGAAAGATGAATTGTCTCTAATAGAGTTTGCCCTATGTGTATTTCTTCTAATGAAATTGTTGTTGATTCGTTTTGCTCGTCGCCTTGGAAGAACCATTTTGTTTACAAGTCCTTGGCGTATTTCTTTTCCCATTGTTCATTACAAATTTGTAGCTGATATTTTCTCTTCCAGTTAGGTTCAGTTTGGAAAAAGTGAAAATACAAATATCTACAATGCAAAGTCTTGTGTTTCATTATTATATTTCTAAACCTGTATTTGCACTGTACATATTTGTATTTGTATTCCTTCCAAACTGAGCCTAATGCTGCGTTTGGAAACAATGCAAATTATGTAGAGTGTAAAACAGTCAATACAAATTGCAAAGTTGGGTTAGTTTTGCACCTACAAATTTGCCTTCTTACCAAACAGACTTTTAGCTTTAATGGATGCAAATACGAATTCCAATAAAATATGCCTTTTTTTACCAAAAGCCCACTTAAATGCAAATTTACTTCTTTTTTATTGATGTACTTTTACATCTCATTATCAATGTAAATATGCATTGGAAAATGTGCTTTCTGTCTTTGTAAACACATAAATGCATTATTTCCAAACACAGTCAAAACTGAAACAAAACGCAAATTTACCCTAAACTGAAATTTACACTCCATTTGCAACGTTTACAAACGCAATATAAAGAGTATAAATATAAATATGTACAGTAAAAATACACACAAAGTGATACAAAATACAAAGTTT